GCCATCATCAATGGAGACGAGACTACTTAAGTCCTGCTTAGCAAGGAATGTCTCTAGTAGACACAAAATGTCACATTGTTCCAACAGCTCATCGACAACAATGCAGCGAGCTTTATTCTCCACGCTCTGACCTAAGTGCAGGCCACGACAGTTGTATGATATTACATTAAGTACCCTATTATTTATTGGCTTTGAGTTCAGCTCATGAAGAATGGGGGCAAACACAAAAGTGTTGCGTTTATAATTTTGTTCAGTGTAATAAACAAGGCAATATAACATTTTGCCAATATGGTGGGGGCACCGGTGGATATCAGGCAAGCTCATATGAACTGCCTCAAGATTATGACCATTCAAAGAAATCCTTAAACTACCACTGAATACTTTATTTTATTAGAAAAAAAGTCTTGCCAGTGAGAGTTTGTGAGACGTGTATAAACTGAGTTGCTTCTGCATAGAAATTCTAGAACATATGTACACCTCAGTTTTTGAGCTTTAGGTCACATCTAAGATGATAATTCACCGTTGTGACATTGTAGATTAGTGAGAAAACACATAGGGAGTAGAAAAATATTACAATAGAAGATATAGGCGTGACAAATTAAAGGAAAACCCTGAATCACTGAGTGGTCTCTTCCAGGATGACAGTGCCCCCATTCACAGGACATGAGGGGTCACTGAATGATTTGATGAGAATGAAAATGGTGTGAATCATATGCTGTGGCCTTCACAGTCACCAGATCTAAACCCAGCTGAACACCTATGGGAGATGTTGGAGTGACGTGTTAGACAGCGTCTCCACCACCATCATCATTAAAACGCCACATGAGGGAATATCTGCTAGAAGAACGGTGTTCATCCCTCCAGTAGAGCTCAGACACTTGGAGAGTCAATACCAAGGAGTACTGAAGTTGTTCGGGTGGCACGTGAAAGCCCAACACCTCGCTGAGGCACTTCATGTTGGTTTGTCCTTTCATTTGTCACATGTCTGTAGGTGTTATATATACAGTACTGTAGATAGATGTTTCTTATGGCTAATTACATCCCCATATTTCTGTGTAGTTGTAGGGGCTTTGGATCATCAATGTTAACAGTGAATTTCATGGAAATTAAATAAAATGTAAACAGATGGAGTCAGCTACCCAACACTGACTAACATTGTAGGATCATATCAAAATAAAACCTGTATTGATTACATTTTTAAAGCACTATCATCTATAAAAACATACAAATTTAAAGTTTGTTTTAAAAGGACTACAGAAGACATTGATTGTACAGTCATCATCTTTTCTCTTTGTGCAAGGAAAGATCCATGACAGGCCTAGCATTAATACACACATATCCATTGCTGACTTCATGTTCCTTTGATGAGCTCATTCCAATAATAATGAGCCTGTTAAGTGGCATTGATACGCTGAGTGTACAATATGTAAACATAGAAAAGCCCGTGAAACAGCACCTAAACTGCAAGACACTAAAATCCTTCATACTGTCCATGTCCAAAATCATCAACATTAATAACAGTGATGATAAATATATCATCTCAACAGCCAGATGTTGGCCATAACAGCAACTATAACAATGCATTTTATGTTAAAACTGGATATGATTCAAGAATAACTGTCTTCTGTATGAAGCAAAAATACACAGTAATGTCTCAACTTGACAAAACATGCCACCGTTATTGTGTCACTTGTATAAGTGCTTCAGATAAGCATTTACTCAACTTGTTCAGTGATTTCAGGTGGTGTTTGTAGTTATGAGTAGGACTACCAGTGCTATGTGACCAAACAGCATGTCAAGCTGTTTCAAGTGATTAGCCTTGTTGCTTATACTCATGTTCCCAGTCAAGAGGGTTGCAGTACATCAAGGTCTGGGACTAGAGATGAAGTGGTATAAAAGTTAGTTGAATAGTCACTCTAAAGGTATTATACTATACTGTAAATCAAGGTATAGTGCCTCCTAATCTTTTTTTAAACACATGGATGATTAGATTAAGTTGTTGTTAGTGTTTTACAGAGCTGTTCTTTCAATCAAGTGCTGTAATTTTGCTGTTTTTACTGAAGTTGCTTTGATGAATGCTTTGCAGTAAAGCAGTTAAAGGGAGACAGTAGTTGAAGAAAAATGAAATGGATGATGAAAGCAGAAGTACATGTCTGTGCTGGATATTGCATTGATGCACAAAGCTTCACCCCTAGATGGGGGTTTGATTAATGTATCCATGCAGTAGATAAGGTGTCTGCATCAAGTTAAAAATAGACAAAAGCACAGTGGGACAAACAGGTGAGAGACTACAAGCAAATAAAGGTGAAGCTAATGGAGCGTGCTAATGTGTGCATTTATTAAACCTGCTGTCTAGTCTCCCGGTCCAATCTGCCACTTTCCACGGCTCCCCGGATCCCTGAGGACTGAGTCATCGCTCACTTTAAATAATACACCTCATCTGAGGGCTGAAGAAGCTGCCTTATAGAGCCCTTCATTGTGATAACAAGTGGAACTGAGAAAAGTGGCCACCAGTCTCAGGCTGCTGCTGAACTCATGGGCTTGAGCTGCAGGCTACATGAGGAGCAGGTAATCTGCCCCTTGCGTACACTTTGCATTAAAAGTGTGATCAGGCTCAGTGTTGTTGGCTGAGGGATTGAGAGTTCACTCTGGACAAGTCAAGAGCAAGGCTGCTGTTGACATAACAGAAAAACTGGGAGCGACATAGGGAAGAGGATGATGTTGTCGTACACTAAGACGGTACCTGCAAGGCCTGATATCGAGAGAAAATCAGTATATCCAGGTCAGCCAGGTCAGCTGCTGAGGCAGTAATTTGGAAGTGGCAGCAGGTGTCAAAAGAAATAAAGTTGGAGTGTTATTATTGAGACTGCAGAGAGAATTAAATCAGTATGAGTCATTGCATGGCATTGCATGTTGTTCTGTAGTAAATCATATGCAATTTAAAGGAATGCTTTTATCCAAAAGCGACACAGCGAGATCAGACATTTGTAGAGGCTGCTCTCAGTGGGAAACACACCCCTAACCGATATGGCTTTGGTGCCATGCTGTACCCAGCAGGATGCACTGCTACATGAGCAAGCTCTGTCTTTTTTACAGAAAAGTTTGCAATGAACAAACTCTTAACTCCAATGGATGAAAAAAGTGTAAAAATGAGAACGACAAAGTAGATATGGAACAACAACAAGTGCTGCTGACACTGATGGGAATTTTTGTATTTTTAAAGGTCTTGGATTAAATAAAACTTTGATCTGATGGTTGTGGAGGAAACGTTAAGTGCTCACCTAAGTTATGCGGATTCATCCTCTGGGGATCATAAATGTAATTGTAATTGTAATAAAATGTAAAAACATGTAATTACATTTCATACAGTAATTGCTGAGATACTTCAGTCTGAACCAAAGTGGTGGACTGACTGACCAAGTGACAGCCTGGAAGCATGGCCAAAAACTAAAAAAAAAAAAGAGGGGGCTGCGTTAGTGGGGGTGTGTTGCTTGAGATACCAGTCAGTCAGTGAAATGCTATCCAGAAAGGCCAGTTTATACAGCACCGTTCTCTATCAGAAATTACAAAATACTTCAGAGTAACATATAAAGCAAACACAATTTATGAGTATTAATTAAAACAACTATGAATAAAAATATAACAGAACCAGTGCAAGTAAGTAAACAGGCTTTAGTGGCACTACAGTGCTTTGCTGGACTACTCTACTTTACACTCTGGCAATGCTCACTGTTTTTGCTTACTGGGGTGTCCTGACAAATGAATGGTTAAAGCACATAGTTTATAACTACAATATTTGTGGTTTGGTTTTAGGCAGGGATTCGTGTTGTTTTCTCTCTGTTTACCTGTCTGTCTCTCCCATATCTACTGAAGGTGAAAATTCCCAGAAAATAATCTTAAAACAAGAGTTTTTCCAGGATGACCTGTGATTTGCTGGTCAACAAACAACTACAGACCTAAAAACTGACTGAACAACAGATTGTGTTGAATCTTACAACAATCCACTACTACTATTATAATTCCGTATCAACCTGTCACTTTAAAATCATTTGGTAACGTGATTTACGTTAGAACTACTGCTTTTACAATGACCATAAATCACCTTTTATTCAAGGAAGGAAATTGGAACCAACACTCAAGTTTCTGATCTGTGATGACTTAAACCAGCTTAGAAGGCTTTGTTGAGATGTCATTCTCCTCTGCCATGATCCACCCTGCCCTTTTTCTCTAAAAACCAACCACTGCTGCTGCCACCACCATCCACCGGCAAGATCTGCTTGCTGTAAGCCGCTTTTAATGAGCACACTCCAACTTGCCAGCAAATCGCACTGACTTTTTCACCTGCGCTGGAACTAATTCCAGCAACCCAGCTGTGTAGCAATAACTTGAACTTGAGGAACAAGAGTCCACAACATTGGCACTCACAGGGAGTCAGACCTGGAAGTACAAGCCTGCAGGCATGTTTTGTTTGCAGCCCACCTCTTTTCCTAGGCTCCTCATTAGTTTGTTGTTTTTCATGCAGCAGCAGAGGCTCAAAGGGAGATGTTAAGGACACATAATAGCACTGAGATAATAAACAGAAAATGTTAAATATGGAACGTCATATACATTGTTGACAATCCCTGCATTACTAGTGCTGCCATGTGGAACAACAGGCACACCGTGGCTGTGCTGTTTCACCTTTTTTGTGAGTGAGACTTCAGAAACTACAAAACTCCTTAAAGTATTTCACCTTCACACAAAGTCCATAGAAGACAGCTGTGCAACTCCTACCTGCACAAAAAAGAAAGAAAGGGAAAAAATCATTTATGATGCATTTTGAAAAGACACAACTATGAAAAGGCACAGAGGATGGCTAACAGAGTCATCGCTGATGCGTCCCCATGTGTCAACACAGGCTGTATCTTCTCTGTCCAGGACTATACCTTCTTGTCTTGAATTTTTTACAGTGTGTCTCATTCTTTTTGTTTGTGCCTGTGTATATGTCTCTATGTGTTTAGTGTCCAAACATTGGAAGGCTGTGAAATCCTCCTGGGCCCAGAGGTGACATACGGTCCTCCGGGCCTGGACCTCTTCTGCCCAGTGGCCATGACCATTGCTCACTGCGCTGAGGTGGACGCTGAAAACTGGAACATCCAGCTCAAGAAGAAAACCCAAGACAGCAAATGGGAGGTGAGAGCTGCAGGGCCATACTCATTTATCTAGCAGGGCTCGGACATGGTATTTGAATCTTCTTTGTTGTCTTTTTCCTCAGTGGTTCTACTCTTTCTTTCTTTAGCTAAATGTTTACAGAATTTATGTTTGCAATACTAAACATGCTGCACCTCAAGACTAGCACATACATTTTACAGAAGTTTAAGTCCATTCATTTTAAAAGCAAAGTAAACATCAGATAAGAGTAGTCATGGCAAAATAATAATAATAATAATAAGTATGTTTACTGTTGAGGTCTTGCTGTGGTGTTGCCATCTAGCGTTGCCATACTGGAGCTCGGTATCAGTTGCAGTAAATAACCAAGGCTAATGTATTGTTTTTATCTGAATTGGCATTTCAGTGGGAGCAGCTTCCACCCACTGACCACCTGTCTTACTTCAGATAAAATATCAGGACTAGACAGCACTCAGAGAGTGCATACCTTCACCAAGGGCCAAGTCTGTTTCCCCATAGTGCCATAAAAGCAATGGGCCACATTCACCAACCGTTCTTAAGAACATATTTGTTTGTAAACCCCACTTATGAAGTTTTCACAAAGATTCTTGCATTCAACAATGTTTTCTTATCTGGGATTTGGTTTTAGGTCAGAACAAAATCTACACACATACGAGAGCACACTTGGGTGACATAAATGGTTTTTTAGTTTTCTTCAGTTCTACAGTTATATAATATCATAAGAATTTAATTACAATAACAGTTTTGTCATCATTAGTATTCCTTTAATGTTTTTTTTTTATTAATTTATAAAGCATTATGGTGTTTTAAAACAAATAAACACTAGGCTAGAAATTACAGCAAGCAATTCATTGCTCATTTATAAATCAAGGTCTTAAAAATGTATTTAACTTTTACAGTGTTAATATATTTGTAGCTTATAATTAGGAAACACATTACTTAAAAACCATACAGGTTTAAGTGCATATCTTTATTTCTGATTTCTATACATTTTTTAAAGTGTCTCTTGGATATTTTGGCCAGTATGTAGGTGTTTGGTTGTCCAGCACTACACCTGAGATCAGACTCAGGGCATTGGTGAGGTGTTGACCTATGCTATGAACGACTGGCACATGCTTTCAATTTATGAACGCATGGGATTCATCAATATAAAAACACAGGTGCAAACAGTTCTGCAGTTTAAGAACATGTTCATGAATTAGATGTGGACTTTTCTTTGGACCTTTCCTAAGAACAGGCTACAAAGAAATTTAAGAAAACAATTAGGAAGATATTGGTGAATGTGGTCCATTATTCCCATGATAGTGTGACCCTCATAATGTGATTGCTTGATCAAGAAAACCTACTGCTGACATTTGAAAAGAGGTTGATATCATTATTACTCATTGGTTTAGGGATAATACTGGGACTTCAGTGAGTGGACCACAGGCACAACGGTGTCACATTTCTGCAAGTTTGTGATCTATTTGTTCAACAGCTGTTTGATAAATTGTTCATACAGTCTTCCTTACTGGCTGATTGCTGCAATATTAAGCGATAGGCTACTTCACATCCTGTGCTCTCCCTCTGCTCAGCTATGAGTGTGTGTCCCTTCTAAACAGAGATTGACATGGAAACATACAGTGGAAAAGCAAAGTAGGATGATCTGCATCAACCCATGAGATTGTGTCAGGTGACCTTTAAGAGAAGCACAGGGGCTCACATATAGTGAACCTTTGCAGCGCTGACAATAGTGAATAATCTTTTAGAAAACTCCTATATCCATATTACGCAACCAATCAGCAGAATATATATATATATATATATATATATGTAAAGTGATCAAAATCCATTCATTACTTTTTGAGTTATGCTGTTAACAAACATGCAAACACCTGCAAAAGCATTACACCTGCCCTTGGCAGACGTAATATGGGAATTACATGTGACCAATATGCTGCACATGCTTAGTTGTTTACATGACCCAAAATAGGATATTTTTCCATGCAATGTCTGCTGTCCAAAATACGAAGGTAATAAACCACAAGAGACATTAAATCATAGATCAAACAAGTAGCAGCTACAGTATCCTCACATAATGATACCTGTATACTTTCTGGTGCCTTCAGGCCCAATCCACATGAGGGCCATCTGTTTCGTAATTAGCTAATGCAGTTACTTCATATATCCCATCCTGCTGCCAGCTTACTGTGCCAGAAACCTTAAAGCTGCACTGATCCATATTTTTGAAATATATGTTAACAACAGATAAACTGACTCTGTACTATAAAAGGAACTGCTTGTAGTGACAAACTCTTGGAGAATATCACACCCAGTTCTGCAGCTCCCTTCAGCTAATGTTGTTCTGATGCTCACAGATTTCACTTCAAACCATAATGTTTCAGCAGCAGAGTGTAAATCAAAATGCTGTTACTCAAACTGCATCTAGAGTTAACTTTTGAAATATGAAAGTGATAATTTATAAAATGTAAACTGTGTGGACCACCAGCTGTAAACAGCTACAGACAAAACAATACTTTATCCATATCCACACTCTCTGTTTAACTTAAGATGTGGTGCTTCTTTTATTTTGAAGATCATTACACAACTATCTGATTATATTATCTCATGTGAATCTACCAACAATCAGGATCTGTCCTTTTTACCATTCAATTCAGTAACTGAATGTCATCCAGTGTAGGACAGTGACATCAAAGTCATGCCCCTTGCCGTAGCGTTCTATGGCTTGTTGACTCTGTTCTCTCCCTCTGGGCTTTGTGGGTGAGCTGATTGATCCATGTGGTTAAAGGTCTGGCGTGACACATGACTGGTGAATTATGTGTGAGCCATAAAAGGCTGTTGGGGCTTTGTGGGTGAGCTGATTGATCCAGCCTCATGTCTTCTGTGGGTCCAGATGGATGACATAAGGCCACATGAAGGTAACACTGCCTGTCCAGTGGGAGGGAAATAAAAAAAACAATTACAGCATGTAATGGCCAGGAAGAGGCATGGCTGCTTGTCAGTCAGTGGGGGGAGTATCACAGAAGTGGGATATAAGGGCCCACTGGACAAGGGAAGTATTGATCAGTGGATCAGGAAAGACATGGACTGTGGATTTAGATGTGAGGAAAACCAGGAGGAGAATCATGGAGATTGTTTTTCTGTTGGCTGCACCTCTCCATTTCCCTCCATGAAAGTCTCCCAACATACATACACACACACATACACAACCAACCAAGCGATGCAACTCTCACCCGATAGTTTGTGTTTTTGTTAGTTTCACTCGGATGCTTTATAACAGGACACATTGTATTTTTCCAGCTCTTTATGTGTATGTGTTTTCATTCCAACAGTGTCAGCCTTTTTTTTTTCCTTCAGAGAAGAAGATTGCTTTTACTGGTCGGGATGAAGTCCCGAGACCTTAATCCCAAACCCAGAGGCATAACAAGCCCAATCTCTGTTGTCACTTTGCATTATTTGCTCACGCTTTTGAGCAGTAACCAGCAAGATAGGTGGTGGGGGTGCAGTGAATGATAAAGAGAATATTCAGTCAGGCGGTAATGTAATTGTAAATCTGACTTAAAGTTTTGGCAAGCCGAGTGTGGGTCAGAATAATGAATACTGCACGTTTGCCCCTGGCTGTTGTGGTGGTTGTCAACACTTAAAAGAGTTTGTTATTTAGAGGAAGAGCAGCTGGATTTGCCTGCTCTCTACATTGTCTGCTTTTGTCCTGAATAATGTTTTTCTAAGCAGTTGAGATGGCTGCTATAAAGAATATGCCAGAGCTGCAGTGGCTTCTATGCAGACATGTAACATAATGGTCCTTCATCTTGAAGTAAAGTTTTTTCAAGTAGTCACTGGTTCACTTTGTCATATTAATTTTGGCACCTGATTCTGTTTTACTCTTCTGACAAAAATTTATGTTAGTCCCAGTACTAATATCCTTTCAGTGTATCTAGCGCTGGATGGTTTGTGCTATAAATGCCATACAAATATCAAATTGTGCAGCACATTGTTACTATTTTTTGTGTTTGTGACATATTACAGTGATTTTATATTCATATTTAAAGCACAAGTTTATAATGGATGAGAAAGGAGTATACAAGACTCCAACCCACTGAGCCCACTGCTTACAGTATTGCAGCCATAGAATTCATTTAGATTTTAAAACACTCACAAGTCTTTGAACCTTCAGGGTGTATTATGTGTTGTGACAATGTGTTAGACTGTGGAAACATTTTAGCCTGCTTTTAAAGTTGTTTTGATTCCAGTCTTGCCCTTCTCAGGGTGTCATGTGATCACCTAAATTGTAGAGCTGTATTTTCTAAATCAGGAAAAAAAAATCTAAATTGCTTTCAGTCCCACAATTTTCACCCTACAAGCATATAGTATACCTTAAAATGTTGCCACAAGTCTCCTCTCTGTCAAATCATAAACATCTAAACTTCAGGAGTTCAGGCTCTTGAGATCCAGGGCCCCAATCAGACAGAGTGCCTTTTAGCAGCTTGGGATAGTTTGTTGTATTTGTTTCTGTTGCTGGGCACCTCATGTTTTTGCAGGAGCACCCAGAACTACTGCAGGTGAAAAAAAATTGAACTCAGAAAAAAGCAAAGCAAAGCATCCAACATCGTTTGTATTTTCCATTGTCCACTACAATGATTTGAGAGGTGGACCTTCTATGGTGGTGACCCAAAATATAGTGTTGACCTATGGTAGACAAACCCTTCAGCCACTTGCCAGGACCAATGGACTGTAGTTCATGGTTATTTTGGTGATGTGAGACCCAATTATTGTTCCTGACTCATCCTAAAATAAGCCTTAAATCCAGGCTCCTGGACCAGCCAGTGGTATTCCCCATGATCTCTTCTCTTTCTCAGGGTCTCACATACCCAGACAGATTTTTGGTTCTCTGTGTCCAACACATAGCAATTACTCCTGCTATAACTGATGATGAAAAAGTCTGGTCTGGTCCAATTTAGAAATGTAATAATGCTGCATTAACAAAAGGTGGTGGCTGCTGTAGC